GGTAATCCTTCCGCCTCAGTCTTCCAAGTAGCTGGAACAACAGGCATGTGCCACCACGCCCAGTTAATTTTTTAATTGATTGTAGAGACGAGGTCTCCCAATTGTCAGGCTGGTCTCGAACCTCTGAGCTCAGGGAATCCTTTCACCTCTGCCTGGAAATTACAGGCGTGAGCCACTGAGCCTGGCACAAAAAAAAATTTTTTTTTCTGGCACAAAATTTTTAAATATAATGTTTATCAGCAAACACTGCCTAGATGACGAAGTTTAAAGAAGTTATACTATCCTTAAAGAAGAGGATTATCCTTATTCTCTTTAGAAGATAGGTACTATTGACAACTCAGTATCTGGCTCAAGATATTCAGTTGAATAGTAATACTAAGAATTAGGATTTATTTTAACAGCTTTAGTGGATATACTTCACACCATACAATTCCCTCAAAGTGTGCAATTCAATGGTTTTTAGTACACTGATAGAGTTCTGCAACCATCACCATCATCAATTTTAGAACATTTTCACGAACCCAAAAAGAAAGCCCATACCAATTAGCAGTTACTCCTCATTCCACCCAAACCTCTAGCCCCATAAGACCATGAACCTGTTCTGTGTCTAGGGGTTTTTTCTCCTAGACGTTTCATATAAATGGGTTCATACAATAGATGATCTTTTGTCAGGCTTCTCTCACTTGACATAATGTTTTCAAGATTTAACCATGTTGTAGTACTATCAGTTCTTCATTCCTTTTTACTGACTAACAATATTCCATATGGATTTTTATTTTATTTATTTTATTTTGGTCAGAGTCTCACTCTGTCACCTAGGCTAGAGTGCAGTGGCATGATCAGTCACTACAGCCTTGATCTGCTGGGCTCAGGTCATCCTTCTGTCTCAGCCTTCCAAGTAGCTGGAACCATAGGTATATGCCACCATACCTGGCTAATTTTTAATTTATTGTAGAGATGAGGTCTCACCATGTTTCTCAGGCTGGTCTCAAACCCCTGGGCTCAGGCAATCCTCTCATCTCAGCTACCCAGAGTGCTGGGATTACAGGCATGAGCCACCATGCCTGGCTGGCTATATTTTATTTATTAGCTCATCAGTTGGTGAACATTTGGGTTTTCTCCACCTTTTTTGGCTATTAAGAATAATGCTTCTGGCCGGGCTCGATGACTCACCCTTTAATCCCAACACTTTGGGAGGCCGAGGCGAGTAGATTGCCTGAGCCCATGGGTTTGAGGCCAGTTCGGGCAACTTGGCGAGACCTTGTCTCTACAATAAATCAAAAAATTAGCCAGGTATGGTAGCGTGCACCTGTAGTTCCGGCTACTTGGAAGACTGAGGCGTAAAGCTTGCTGGGCAAGGCTGCAGTGGCCAGGAGTGTGCCATCGCACTCCAGTCTCGGCAACAGAGTGAGACCCCAACTCAAAAAATAAAAAGAATGCATTTATGAACATTCATTCACAAAGTTTTTGTGCCAATGTATGCTTTTACTTATCTTAACTATATACCTAGGAGCCAAATTACTGGATCATATGATAACTCTCTTCAACCTTCTAAGGAACTGTTTTCCAAACTGTACCATTTTATGTTTCCATCAGCAATACATGAGAGTTCTAATTTCTCCATATCCCTACCAACATTTGCTATATTTGCCTTTTTGATTCTAGCCATTCTAGTAGGTATGTAGTGGTATCTCACTGTAGCTTTTAATTTATATTTCTCTGATGACATATAATGTTGAGTATCTTTCCATGTGTGTATATGGCCATTATCTTCTCTTGAGAAATGTCTATTAAGATCCTTTACTCATTTTGAAATTGGATTATTTATCTTTATATTTTGTTATAAGAGTTTTAAATACATATATATATGTTGAGGCTGGGCACAGTGGCTCATGCCTGTAATCTCAGTACTTTGGAATGCTGAGATGAGAGGATCATCTGAACCCAGAAGTTCTATACCAACCTGGGCAACGTAGCAAGACCCCATCTCTACAAAAAATTAGCTGGGTATGGTAGCACTTGCCTGTGTTACTAGCTATTTGAAAGCCTAGACCGGAGGATGGCTTGAGCCCAGGAGGTCAAGGATGCAGTGAGCCATGATCGTGCCATCACATTCCAGCCTGGGCAACAGAGTGAGACTCTGTCTCCAAAAAAAAAAAGAAAGAACACACACATACACACGATATGTCCCTTATCAGATATATGACTTGCAAAATTTTTTCCCATTCCATACGTTTTATCACTTTCTGGATGGTATAATTTGCAGCATGGTCAAGTGTTTAATTTTTATAAAGTCTAACTTATCTATTTTATTCTACTCCGTGTGCTTTGAGGTAGTTTTACTTAACTCTCCAGAGTAACAATTTGTCAATCTCACAAAGAAATATAATAGTACTAACTATGGTAGAAGCAAAGCAAAGATAAATTACTTTAGCATGCTCCAAGAAAACTTCAAAAATGAAATAGAATTCCCCAGACTCCATCACTTTTTTTTTTTTTTTTTGAGTTGCAGTCTCGCTCTGTCGCCCAGACTGGAGTGCAGTGGCCGCTCCTGGCCACCGCAGCCTCAATCTGCTGGGCTCCAGCGATCCTTCCGCCTCAGCTTTCCAAGTAGCTGGAACTACAGGCGTGCGCTACCATGCCCAGCTAAATTTTTTATTTCTTATAGAGATAAAGTCTCGCCAAGTTGCCCAGGCAGGTCACGAACCTGCGGGCTCAGGCAATTCACTCACCTCAGCCTCCCAAAGGCGCGGGATTACAGGCTGAGCCACTGAGCCAGGCTCATCCTCTTTTCTTTCTTTTTTTTTTTTTTGAGTTCGGAGTCTCGCTCTGTCGCCCCAGACTGGAGTGCAGTGGCCATTCCCAGCCACTGCAGCCTCGACCTGCTGGGCTCTAGCGATCCTTCCGCCTCAGCCTTCCAAGTAGCTGGAACTACAGGCATGTGCTACCACACCCAGCTGGTTTTTTGATTTATTGTAAAGATGACGTCTCGCCTGTCCAGGCGGGTCTCGAACCGCAGGCTCAGGCAATCACTCACCTCAGCCTCCCAAGGCGCGGGACGACAGGCTGAGCCACCGAGCCCGGCTGACTCCATCACTTTTCATTAAAGACTTTTAGCCACTCTCAACTTGGAAGAATGTACTGCAAACAAAACCAATTTTCCAACTGAACAGAAAGAGTGCATTAATGCAGATGGACCATATGATAAGGCAGAACGACAAAACTAGAATCAGAAACCCTAAGGAGTCCACTTCAGAAATGTCCATGAGCCTCTCATGGAACTCTTTCCTAAAATAGTTTAAAATTTCTACTCCCTGAAGGGAGTTGTAGTATAATTTTGGGCCAGGTACAGTGACTCACATCTATAATCACAGCACTTTGGGTGGTGGAGATGAGAGGACTGCTTGAGGTCAGGAGTTCTAGACCAGTCTAGGCAACACAGGAACCGTGTCTCTACAATCAATCAAAAAGTTAGCTGGGCGTGGTGGCACACACCTGTGGTTCCAGCTACTTGGAAGGTTGAGGGAGAAGGATTGCTTGAGCCCAGCAGTCAACGCTGCAGTGGCCATGAGTGTGCCATTGCACTCCAGCCTAGGTGACAGAGTGAAACTCTAACTCAAATAAAGTTAAAAATTAAAAAACAAACAAAAACACACATTAACCTAAACTTATACCCATTTTGGTCTTCATATAGGCACTTTCTTACACATGCTTCCCAGTATGCTCATTATAAAAAATTTGCTAAATGTTATAATTTTTTATGAAATGGTTTTGTCATAAAGCACAATCTCATACAAGTATCATCTTCAAAAAAAGTGAACTGACACCACAGGGGAAAGGCTATGCTGAGATGAAGTAGAAGAAAGAAATTTATCTAATTTATACAATAAGATAATCTCATAAATTACTTTAGACAGAATTAGGCAGATAAATTGGACATTAAAAATAAATTATATCTAGGCTCGGTGGCTCAGCCTGTAATCCCAGCACGTTGGGAGGCTGAAACGAGTTGATTGAGCCTGCGGGTTTCAAGACCAGTCCAAGCAACTTGGCGAGACCTTGTCTTTACAACAAATAAAAAAAATTAGCCAGATGTGGTAGTACATGCCTGTAGTTCCAGCTACTTGAAAGACTGAGACAGAAGGATTGCCGGAGCCTAGCAAGTTGACGCTGGGGTGGCCATGAGTGTGCCACTGCAAAACTCCAGCCTGGGAGACACAGTGACACTCCAACTCAAAAAAATTAAATTAAATTAAATTTAAATTAAAATAAAATAAATTATACCTTTCTTCACAAGTATGAGCTACTAGAACGACAGTCAGAAACAAATACACCATCATCCTTAGTGTTACCTTATTCAAAGCACAATAGCTAGTTAAAAGTAAAAGCTCAAGCCGGGCTCGGTGGCTCAGCCTGTAATCCCGCGCCTTTGGGAGGCTGAGGTGAGTGGATTGCCTGAGCCTGCGGGTTCGAGACCCGCCTGGGCAGCGAGACCTCATCTCTACAATAAATCAAAAAATCAGCCGGGTGTGGTAGTGCGTGCCTGTAATTCCGGCTACTCGGAAGGCTGAGGCAGAAGGATCGCCGGAGACCAGTAGGTCGAGGCTGCGGTGGCCGGGAGCGGCCACTGCACTCTAGTCTGGGCGACCGAGTGAGACTCTAACTCAAAAAAATAAATAAATAAAAATAAAAAAAAATAAAAGTAAAAGCTCAGATATTATATTCCAGGAAAACACCCAGAAGTGATAAAGGGCAGGCAGGAAGGGACCTGAACAACTTCACAGACAATGCCTGGCATTGTTACATAACAAGTAACACAGCAGGGGATGGGAAACACACAGACCTGCTTCTTTCCTGGTTAATTAAGGGTAAACACGACCCTATGGCATAATCGTCGCTTCACACAAAATAACTTTAGGAGATAGATATCCATCTGTCCCAGAGATCCCCAGAGGTGGACTGAATTGCTATTACTCTGTTATTACTTTTTAAATACTTACTATCATCTCCAACAGGACCTGCTGAACACTGTGCTGGGGGGTCCCGTGCCAGGTCATTCAATTCCTTAAGAAAGAGAAAACAAAAGGAATTTATTCAACATAAGTGTAACTTTTATCCACTAATCAAATGTACCAATAACCTCGGTCCTACTGATGCTCTTTCAGCATTCCTTCAAAGTCAGAGATGAGTAGACTGGTGAATTTTTTTTTTTTTTGAATTGGAGTCTCACTCTATCACCCAGACTGGAGTGCAGTGGCTGCTCCCGGCCACCGCAGCCTCGAGCCGCTGGGCTCCGGCGATCCTTCTGCCTCAGCCTTCCAAGTAGCTGAAACTACAGGCGAGCACTACCACACCCGGCTGATTTTTGATTTACTGTATAGATGAGGTCTCGCCAAGTTGCCCAGCAGGTCTCAAACCCACGGGTTCAGGCAATCCACTCACCTCAGCCTCCCAAGGCGTGGGATTACAGGCTGAGCCACCGAGCCCGGCTAGACTGGTGAATTTTTAAGTTAAAGTATTTTGAACTGTTCAATGCAGATGTATATTTTTACTTTTTTGAGTTAAGAGTCACACCTCAGCCTTACAAGTAGCCAGAACTGCAGGTGCACACTACCATGCTCAGCTAATTTTTGATTTATTGTAGAGATGAGGTCTCACTAAGTTGCCTGGGCTGGTCAGATACATATTTTTAAAAGTGAGTCATTTTTGCTTTTTTCAATGTTTAGTAGCTAAATATAATAAAGAAGGTAAACAGGTATTATGTACTAAAAAGTCATAAAAACCGTTTTAAAGTAAATATTCCATTTATTATTATATTTTAAAGATTCAAGGCCAATTTTTGAACTTTAATACTATTAGGGGCCAGACATGGTGGTTCAGGCCTGTAATCCCAGCACTTTGGGAGGTCGAGGCAAAAGGACCTCCTGAGACCAGGGGTTTGAGATCAGCATGGACAACTTGGTAAGATCTCATCTCTACAATAAATAAATAAAAATTAGCCAGGTGTGGTGGCTCATGCCTGCAGTTCCAGGTACTTGGAAGGTTGAGGCAGAAGGATTGCTTGAGACCAGCAGGTTGAGGTTGTGGTGGCTGTGAGCGTGCCACTGCACTCCAGTCTGGGCAAGAGTGAGACTCTAAATCAAAAAGAAAAAAAAACCATTAAGTTATACGTGGGACTAGCTCTTGAGATCATAAATGCTCCAAAATGTTACTTGACTCACCAGGTGTGTTGGCTCATGCCTCTAATCCCAGCACTTTAGGAGGCGGATGCGAGAGGATTGCCCGAGTCCAGGAGTTCAAGACCAACCTGGGCAACTTGGCAAGACTTTGTCTCTTAAAAAATAAATAAAAATAAATAAAAATAAATTTAAGCCGGGCTCGGTGGCTCAGCCTGTAATCCCGTGCTTTGGGAGGCTGAGGTTAGTGGATTGCCTGTGCCCGTGGGTTCAAGACCCGCCTGGGCAACTTGGCGAGACCTCATCTCTACAATAAATCAAAAATTAGCCAGGCATGATAGCGTGCGCCTGTAGTTCCAGCTCCTTGGAAGGCTGAGGCGGAAGGATTGCCGGAGCCCAGCAGGTCGAGGCTGCGGTGACCGGGAGCAGCCACTGCACTCCAGTCTGGGTGACAGAGTGAGACTCCAACTCAAAAAAAAATAATAATAAATAAATAAATTTTTAAAATTACTGGACTCTTTGAAAGGATATTGACATCTTCAACTCAAATCTACTACCAGGGTTCCAAAGGTAGTAGAAAAAACTTTCAAAGAATATTATTTTAAAAGCCTGACTGAAGTAATAAAACCCACCTTTATAAAGCTTTTCAGTCAGAAACTGGTCTACCTGAAGTAATAATGTTCTAAAACCAGACAACAGTTTCTTAGTTATTTTAACATAAGAGCCCAGAAACCTGAAACTTGTTAATGGGTGGGGATGCCTTAAAAAAAAAAAACAACAAAAAAAACCACAAGGCAGGAAATCATACTATATTCCATTTCCCTTCAGCTTGTTTTTTTTTTTTAGATGAAAAACAAGCTCTGGGGAAGGAAAAGTTTTAGATTACATTTTAAAACTACAACTGTAAAAACAGCAAAGTGCGCACCCTCTCTCTCTCTCTCTATATATATATATATTTTTTTTTCCTTTTCCTCCTGTACTGGTGCATCTTCCAAAGTCTAATTTTTTTATACAATAAAAACTACTTAGACTTCTATTAATAAATATAGGTGTGACTTTAGTATTCTGAATATATTTTTTTAAATGTGTCTGTGTGTGTGTATATATATTTATTTTGGAGATGGTCTTGTTCTGTTGCCCAGGATGGAGGGGAGTGATGTGATTGCAACTCACGGTAATCTCAAAGTACTGGGTTCAAGCAATCTTCTTATCTCAGTCTCTTCTATAGCTGGGACTACAGGCATGGGCCACCACACCCCTAGCTAGTTTGTTAATGTTTTTTAGAGATGGGGGTCTCACTATGTTGTCTAGGCTGGTGGTCCAAATATTACTTATTTTTTAAATTTGTAGCACATATTTTTTCTGTAAGTTTCTTTCTCAGAATTAAGTTACTTAAGCAGTCATTTCAGTACACCAATTATGTTGTTTTATACTGTCTGTAAACTTGGAGTACAATGCACAAAGTACATAAATAATATTTGGGGAAAAAAGAGAAAGACCTAAAATTGTGGTAAAGATTTAACATTGCCAGGCTCGGTGGCTCAGCCTGTAATCCTGCGCTTTGGGAGGCTAAGGTGAGTGGATTGTCTGAGCCCGCAGGTTCGAGACCCGCCTGGGCAACTTGGCGAGACTTCATCTCTACAATAAATCAAAGAAATCAGCCGGGTGTGGTAG